ATACATACTTGCCTGCGGAAATCCATACTAGTTTTCAGCTCCTGAGGAAGCAGGACAATTTTTTTCATCTCCATAAATAGAAGAAGAAGAACTGTCGCTTTTTGCCTGTGTGGGTTTTATGGATGAAAATAGCCAACCCTAAGCCCAACGGCACCCCTAGTTGACCTCTTCACCCACTGAGTGCTGATAGCGTACAGTATTACTATTCTTTGCTTCACCTAAAAGAATTAACACAATAATGGGTCGACCAGTTCTGCCTTTGCTACTAACCTAATCATTTGAAGATTTACCCGTGTGGGTTCCGGGCCCCTATTATAGGGAAAACAAGAATAGACCCACTGCCTACCCAAAAGCATGTCGTTTCATTAGACTAAATGGGAGCTTCCTTTTTTGTGGAGTACATCTGCTTGATGAGGCAAGGAACCAGCAGTCTGCAAACAAATGAGTCAGATCTGTAAAACGGATGCACACCCAACCCTCAGGTTCTGCAACAGGACTGCAGTCCAGAAGTAGACGAACAACCAGAACTTTCTGTCGGAGTTTACAGCTGGTGAACACGAAGAAGAAGAAGAAGATTTGAAGATTGCTAAACAACAAAAAACAATTATGTGATCTCTGACCTGGTTGCTTGGCAGCATCACCACCAGCTTCCTTTCACCCCTTCCACAGTGACCTTCTCTTTCAAGTCATCCTGTCAGAAAACACAAAAAATAGATTGAGCATTTACAATTTTATGTCAACTGATTTATGACAAATCAAAACTGTACTTAAACTATACACATGTAATACTGTGTGAAGACAAAACAACTAAAACAAATACTAATAAGCTACAAACACTCACTGACTGGTGCCTGCACAGGGATTAAATGGTATGACAGAATCTGTCACAATGTTGAGCTTTGAGAGAGAACTAAACAAGTTCCAGTGGACCAAGAGGTGAGGAAATGACACTGGTGTTGGATAAGACACATGCTGAGAAAACCTGAGAACAATATAACCAGAATGTCTTTGCACCCATAGGGGCATAGAAATAAAGGCTGACCCAAAAAACACACAAAGAAGTGAGCTACCAGGTAAAGTTGAAACGATGGTGAGGACATGGGGTGAGCTGTATGAAATAGCGTAGAACAGAATGATCTGCTATGAGTTGGTTGAGGGCCAACGCTTCACTGGGGGGACAAAAGGCAGAGGAAAAGATTGAAATAGATAGATCAAGCTCACACAATCTTCACTCAGGAGTAAAGATAGATTAAGCTCACACAATCTTCACTCAGTAGTAAAGATAGATCAAGCTCACACAATCTTCACTCAGTAGTAAAGATAGATCCAGCTCACACAATCTTCATTCAGTAGTAAAGATAGATCAAGCTCACACAATCTTCACTCAGTAGTAAAGATAGATCAAGCTCACACAATCTTCACTCATTAGTAAAGATAGATCAAGCTCACACAATCTTCACTCATTAGTAAAGATAGATCAAGCTCACACAATCTTCACTCATTAGTAAAGATAGATCAAGCTCACACAATCTTCACTCAGTAGTAAAGATAGATCAAGCTCACACAATCTTCATTCAGTAGTAAAGCTAGATCAAGCTCACACAATCTTCATTCAGTAGTAAAGATAGATCAAGCTTGATACACAATCTTCACTTAGTTGTAAAGACAGATCAAGCTCACACAGTCTTCACTCAGTAGTAAAGATAGATCAAGCTCACACATTCTTCATTCAGTAGTAAAGCTAGATCAAGCTCACACAATCTTCACTCAGTAGTAAAGATAGATCAAGCTCACACAATCTTCATTCAGTAGTAAAGCTAGATCAAGCTCACACAATCTTCATTCAGTAGTAAAGATAGATCAAGCTCACACAATCTTCACTCAGTAGTAAAGATAGATCAAGCTCCCACAATCTTCACTCATTAGTAAAGATAGATCAAGCTCACACAATCTTCATTCAGTAGTAAAGATAGATCAAGCTCACACAATCTTCACTCATTAGTAAAGCTAGATCAAGCTCACACAATCTTCACTCAGTAGTAAAGATAGATCAAGCTCACACAATCTTCACTCATTAGTAAAGATAGATCAAGCTCACACAATCTTCACTCATTAGTAAAGATAGATCAAGCTCACACAATCTTCATTCAGTAGTAAAGATAGATCAAGCTCACACAATCTTCATTCATTAGTAAAGATAGATCAAGCTCACACAATCTTCACTCATTAGTAAAGATAGATCAAGCTCACACAATCTTCACTTAGTTGTAAAGACAGATCAAGCTCACACAATCTTCACTCAGTAGTAAAGATAGATCAAGCTCACACAATCTTCACTCATTAGTAAAATTAGATCAAGCTCACACAATCTTCACTTAGTTGTAAAGACAGATCAAGCTCACACAATCTTCACTCAGTAGTAAAGATAGATCAAGCTCACACAATCTTCACTCAGTTGTAAAGATAGATCAAGCTCACACAATCTTCACTCAGTTGTAAAGACAGATCAAGCTCACACAATCTTCACTCAGTTGTAAAGATAGATCAAGCTCACACAATCTTCACTCAGTAGTAAAGATAGATCAAGCTCACACAATCTTCACTCAGTAGTAAGATAGATCAAGCTTTCACAATCAACCCCACCCCCCTGGCTTACTTGTATGCCCCTAAATGATTACCAGAACTCTCAGGAAGAAATGCCTTTACAACTATAGAAGTCAGGAACCTACCGAATTAATCATTGTCTATAAGATACTTGTTAAGGAGAGGTAATCTGGTCAGAGATGACTACCACTTACTTGACTGGCAAGGGTAGGTCATTATTCTACGCCTCAGGACAAGACATAACAAACTCAACAAGCATTTGCACAAGCTTTGTTTTCTAAATTAAAACTAAAAAAAAACAGTGTGGGCTGTGTGATGCATAAGACCATGTAGAAGCAAGAATATATCTCTTGTAAAGCCTTTTAAGAAGAGAATTTTAGGCCAGTATTGGGAATACTGGCTACACCTATATTTTTTAAGGAACCTAAAAGGCACATGGTGGTTGGTGTGGTCAGCACATCAACTGCCGACCCCCTTTACTTCCCACACACTGCACTTGGTACCCAGCTCAAGAAAATGGGTGACCTGAGAGTCAAGTCATTTTTCCTAAAAAACCTAATTCCAGCTTCATCAGGACGCGAACCAACCACCTTCCGATCAGCAGGTGGACGTCAATCTGCCAAAGCCATGATGACTCCCTGCTGCAATATATACATTCATGAATAGTTGGATGGCTTAGCTATATGGCCTAATCAGGAAAAAAAAACACAACAAATAAACATTAATTTTCGATTTCACAAAAAACCCTTAATTAGTCGCCTTTAATGACAAGCTTGATAAGAGCTAGTGGTCTCTTCACAAACCTAGTATGACATTTAGATTGTTCATTGCACCAACAAAATCCATATGGACTTGGTAATATCTTTAGAAGCAGCAATAGTCACAAAAGTAAAAGGTCCCTTAGAACAGGCCTTTGTGGCTATTGGGAATATCCCCCTAGGTATATCTTTATAGACCAATAGGCACTTGTACTGATAGGGTCAGCATGAAACGAACCCTGCAACGCTTCCCACGACTGCAAACGGTTGATCACTTCACCATACCTAGAGTCAAAGTCATTTCTTGTGGGTCGTCCAGCTTCATCAGGACGCGAACCACTGAAATGTGTGCCGATCAGCAGGTGTGGCGTCGATGTGCCAAAGCCATGACGTGTGCGCACTTGTTTAATTTCATGAATGTGAATTTTGGCAACACTAACCTATATGGCCTAATCAGTTTAGAACACTGTACAAAATCCAATTAATTTGATTTCAACAATCCCTTAATTAGTCGCCTTTTATGACAAGCTTGATAAGGGCTAGTGGGTCTAAAGGATAACTGTTGAAATCAAGGATTGACTTCATTGCACCAATGACTTCATTGCACTAAGTTTTATCCATATGCCTTGGTTTATCTCCACAGAACGGCTAGTCGACTCTTACGACATGCGTTGGGGGCAGAACAGTGAACTCTATGGCTTGTTTTTCCCTATAATAGGGCCCCACGTATCTCTGTAAAAACTACACTCATGTACTGATAGGCGGAGCCATGAAACGAACCCAGGACGTTCAGACCCGGATGTAAACGGCTTAATCACTCCAGCTGCGGGCCAAGCGCCTTGCGTTGCAATAGACTGTGGTATCAGGGGGCCCCACCTCAATGAGGCCCTAGTCACTGAAATGTGTGTGTGCGTGTTTTTATGTGTGTGTGTGTGTGTGTGTGTGTGTGTGTGTGCGCGCACCTGTTTACTTTCAGGTGTGAATTTTGGCAACACTACAACTGATATTCGAATAACATCATTATATTAAACTAATAATAACAATCAATCAGCAGATATTTACAGAATGTCACTCTCTTCACAGCGAGCTCAAAAGCCTCTCCTTCTCTAGCCAACTCTCCAGCCCTATGTGCTTTCACAGCCAATGTATCTTCAATGTCTTGAATCCACCTTCATAGAGGACGGCCTCTGCTTTGTTGAACCAGAAACTGCACCTGCCATCACCGTTCGCTTCAGGCCACCATGATTTTTGTTTTTCTTAAAAGTCCATGCCGTGTGGCCTTGGTAGTTATGTCTCTCCACAACCTTCTGTCTCCGGACTGTCCAGTTTCTTTTCTCTCAGTCTCCCTCTGCCTCTTCTCCCCTCCAACTTTCCCACTGTCACAATGCACTCCAGTTTTCTTCTTCTCGTCGCATTTTCAAAGAAAGCAGGTTGTCTTTCGCTGATGTGGCAATCAGTTCTCTTTCTAAGCCCGTTTCTTTCTCTTTTTATCTGTCCAGAGTATTCTCATCATTCATCTTTAAAACCATGAAGTCTAATATGGCTAAAATACCCCAGCTTTCGGGATACAATGAAGCAGCAACAATAAAATGCAACATCTGCGCATTCAGTGAATTCTTGAAACAAGAGAAAAATTACCTTTTCAAATAGTTGTGTGTAACGTGGTACATAGCTGAGTTCCAAAGCATTCACTTCTTTATAAAACTCAGCTTCAATGTTGATCACTTCATTCTGCAGTTTCTTTAAAGCCTTGATTCGCCTCTTTACCTCTTTTGGTAAACTGAAAATCATACAACAAGATCATCTATCCAAATTGTCATACTACATAACTAATTTAGGTAGCCAATAAACTTTTCTAAGTAACAATCACATGATCATCTATGTTAGTCTTTCCCAATCCGTGGTCTGCAGGCCCAGCAAATTGAAGGGTTTTGTTTTATCATTTATGAGCCTGTACTTTTTAACTATACTAATTTGTTACAAATAAAGGTTTGGTTAAATTTACTTTATAATTTTCCCAGATATGACTATTAAAAGGTAAATGGTCTGAAGCAGACCTTAAAAAAAAAAGAGGGGTCCGCATGTCTAGGCTGACTGGGAAAAATGACTGATCTGGGTAGCCATCACATATGTGTCTAGGTTGCCATCATGTGCTCATCACACACTAATCTAGGTATCCATTACTTATGTGTCTAGGTGGCCATTACATATGTCTAGGTGGCCATCACATATGTCTAGGTAGCCATCACATATGTGTCTAGGTTGCCATCATGTGCTCATCTAGGTGACCATCACACACTAATCTAGGTATCCATTACATATGTGTCTAGGTGGCCATCACATATGTCTAGGTGGCCATCACATATGTCTAGGTAGCCATCACATATGTCTAGGTAGCCATCACATATGTGTCTAGGTGGCCATCACATATGTCTAGGTAGCCATCACATATGTCTAGGTAGCCATCACATGTGTCTAGGTTGCCATCACATATGTCTAGGTAGCCATCACATATGTCTAGGTAGCCATCACATATGTCTAGGTAGCCATCACATATGTCTAGGTGGCCATCATATATGTCTAGGTAGCCATCACATATGTGTCTAGGTGGCCATCACATATGTCTATGTAGCCATCACATGTCTAGGTAGCCATCACATGTCTAGGTAGCCATCATATATGTCTAGGTGGCCATCACATATGTCTAGGTAGCCATCACATATGTCTAGGTAGCCATCACATATGTCTAGGTGGCCATCATATATGTCTAGGTAGCCATCACATATGTGTCTAGGTGGCCATCACATATGTCTATGTAGCCATCACATGTCTAGGTAGCCATCACATGTCTAGGTAGCCATCATATATGTCTATGTAGCCATCACATATGTGTCTAGGTGGCCATCACATGTCTAGGTAGCCATCACATATGTCTAGGTAGCCCTCACATATGTCTAGGTAGCCATCACATATGTCTAGGTGGCCATCACATATGTCTAGGTAGCCATAACATGTCTAGGTAGCCATCACATATGTCTAGGTAGCCATCACATATGTGTCTAGGTGGCCATCACATATGTCTAGGTGGCCATCACATGTCTAGGTAGCCATCACATATGTGTCTAGGTTGCCATCACATGCTCATCTAGCCATCACATATGTCTAGGTAGCCATCACATATGTGTCTAGGTGACCATCATACACTAATCTAGGTAGCCGTCACATATGTCTAGATGACCATCACACACTAATTTAGGTAGCCATCACATGTCTAGATGACCATCACACAATAATCTAGGTAGCCCTTACATATGTCTAGATGACCATCACACAATAATCTAGGTAGCCATCACATATGTGTCTAGGTGGCCATCATGGTACTCATCTCGGTAGCCATCACATACTCATATAGCTGGCCATCACGTACTCATCTAGGTGGCCATCACATACTCATATAGCTGACCATACGTACTCATCTAAGTGACCAACACATACTCATCTAGGTGGCCATCACATACTCATATAGCTGGTCATACGTACTCATCTAGGTGGCTATCACATATGTGTCTAGGTGACCATCACACACTAATCTAGGTAGCCATCACATATGTCTAGATGACCATCACACACTAATCTAGGTAGCCATCACATATGTCTAGATGACCATCACACACTAATCTAGGTAGCCATCACATGTGTCTAGATGACCATCACACACTTATCTAGCTAGCCATCACATGTGTCTAGGTGACCATCACACACTAATCTAGGTAGCCATCACATATGTCTAGATGACCATCACACACTAATCTAGGTAGCCATCACATATGTGTCTAGATGACCATCACACACTTATCTAGCTAGCCATCACATATGTGTCTAGGTGACCATCACACACATATAGGTAGCCAAACGTGTGTGTCTAGATGACCATCAGGTAGGCAGCCATCACATGTGTGTCTAGATGACCATCACACACTTAATCTAGGTAGCCATCACATATGTGTCTAGATGACCATCACACACTTATCTAGCTAGCCATCACATGTGTCTAGGTGACCATCACACACTAATCTAGGTAGCCATCACATATGTGTCTAGGTGACCATCACACACTAATCTAGGTAGCCATCACATATGTGTCTAGGTGACCATCACACACTAATCTAGGTAGCCATCACATATGTGTCTAGGTGACCATCACACACTAATCTAGGTAGTAGCCATCACACTATGTGTCTAGATGACCATCACACACTAATCTAGGTAGCCATCACATGTGTCTAGGTGACCATCACACACTAATCTAGGTAGCCATCACATATGTCTAGATGACCATCACACACTAATCTAGGTAGCCATCACACATGTGTCTAGATAGACCATCACACTTATCTAGCTAGCCATCACATATGTGTCTAGGTGACCATCACACACATATATGTCTAGGTAGCCAAAACGTGTGTGTCTAGATGACCATCACACATTAATCTAGCTAGCCATCACATATGTGTCTAGGTGACCATCACACACTAATCTAGGTAGCCATCACATATGTGTCTAGGTGACCATCACACACTAATCTAGGTAGCCATCACATATGTGTCTAGGTGACCATCACACACTAATCTAGGTAGCCATCACATATGTGTCTAGGTGACCATCACACACTAATCTAGGTAGCCATCACATGTGTCTAGATGACCATCACACACTTATCTAGCTAGCCATCACATGTGTCTAGGTGACCATCACACACTAATCTAGGTAGCCATCACATATGTCTAGATGACCATCACACACTAATCTAGGTAGCCATCACACATGTGTCTAGATGACCATCACACACTTATCTAGCTAGCCATCACATATGTGTCTAGGTGACCATCACACACATATATGTCTAGGTAGCCAAAACGTGTGTGTCTAGATGACCATCACACATTAATCTAGCTAGCCATCACATATGTGTCTAGGTGACCATCACACACTAATCTAGGTAGCCATCACATATGTCTAGATGACCATCACACACGAATCTAGGCAGCCATCACATATGTCTAGATAACCATCACACAATAATCTAGGTAGCCATCACATACCCACCTAGGTAGCCATCACATACTCATCTAGGTAGCCATCACATACTCATCTAGGTAGCCATCACATACTCATCTAGGTAGCCATCACACTCATCTAGGTAGCCATCACATACTCATCTAGGTAGCCTTCACATATGTGCCTAGGTGGCCATCACATGTGTGTCTAGGTAGCCATTACAAACTCATCTGGGTATCATATACTCGTTAAGTATAGCAATCATATACTTTTACTAGGTAGCCATTAAACATGTCTTGGTAACTGTTAACATATTTTTCTAGATAACATCACACACTCTTCTAGGTAGCAATTATATATACTTTTCCATGTGGCCATTAAATATACTTTCAGGTAGCTAAAGACATTTTTACTGTATGGATCTGGAAAAAGGGGGGGGGGGGGGTGAGAATAGATTAAAAGAAATAAGAACAAACACACAAATTAATTTACTAAGAGGATTAAAACTGTGTGGATTACAAAGGAAGAGCTTTGAAAAAGAATAAATTCTAGCAAATCAAAGGTGAAAATTGATGCTTGTGCAGAAAACATACTGATAAAACTTGGTAATGGCAAAAATAGATAGTCCCTTCTCTAAAACCCACAAACACAGGAAAACATAATCAGGGAAGGAGAATAATATATATATATAGAGAGACTAAGATGCAGGAAATGACATAAGATAGGAAGGCTTGGCAAGAGTTGCTTAAAGTCCTATGCTTCGCTGGGGAATACAGGGGTAAAGAAGATGAAAAAGAATAGTGGAGAGGAGAAAGAGGAGGAGTAAAAGATAGAGAAGGAAAAAAAGTAGAAGGAGAAAAAGAAAAAGAAGATGAAGTAGAAGAAGAAACATACTTTTCTAGGTAACCAGGTGGTAAACCTGCACTGGTAGAGAGTTTGTCCTGAAGTGCAGCCAAGACCCCAGGGTTTTTCATCAACTGGTTGGCAATGGTTTGGTTGTCGCCAACTTCACCTGTCAATTAATAACCAAGCATTTTAAGTATTTTACACTGTTAGATTTTACACAGAAGTCAATTAAGTATACATACATTTGGAGCAGGAGTGATGTAAGAGCTAGCTTGCTTGCTGGTTAACCAGGTGATCGTAGGCTGTATCCCCAGTAAGACAGATTTTAATGACATGGACTACCAGGTCGTCATCTTCCAGGGTCAAATTCATCAAATTTTTTTTTAACTCATGTTCTATGGTGGTAAACTGATGGACAGTCTTGGCTGTTTGTCCATGCATAGCCTTTGGTCTTGTTCCAGGACTCAAGTGTTGCTGCAGGCACATCTGTTTTACATTGACTTATTTGTATGCAGACTGCTGGTTGCTGGCCTTTCAGGCAGGTGCATTGACTTCTTTTCTATGCTGGAAAGGTGCCCGATTAGGTACCCATTTTTCGATCGTGGAGACGGGACTTGACCAGTATGTCCCCTGGTCCTGCTGCACTACCAACTCTGCATCCCAAAAGGTCATTTGAGCAACTTTGTACTTCCTCATGTTTCCTTTCACAAACATTCTGCAAATGATGCAGTACAAATAATAAAGAGCTTGTCATTCTAACATAGAATAGGTGTAATAGTTCACTATAAGCTGAGGGAGAAGTGAATATAATGGTGAGAGAATCATTAATGCAGGGCTTATGCAAAAAAATTAAACAAATCCCACTAATAAAGAGATGAAAACAAACAGTGAGAAAACCTGTTCAACAATGCATCTAGAATGCTTCCTCTGTGAACTTAAGAGCACTACAAAAAGAGTAAGACTTAAAAAACACAGAAAAGGGACTTAAAAACAGAGCTGAAAGATGTGACACAATGTAGATATATGCTTTACAGAAAAAAAGAATACAGAAGAAGGAAATGAGGTTCTCAATTTATAACGTACCCCAAACACGAAATCCCCGTGGGAAATCCACAGCTGACCTGACAGTCCATTATTTCAAGGGGTGGAAGTGTGCTGTTGTGTGGTGCTTCTTTTGAGTGTTAATCTAGTGTCTTCTAATGCTAACCCTAACCCTAAACTTGGCTGTAGATAAATCGCGAGAAACTACAACCTGAAAAGCCTAGAAAATATTGGGAATGTCTCCCGTGACGTTGTCGTGACGTCAGGGGTAAGTTATAAATTAAGTACCGGAAATGAATATACTAGCATTTGAGATATTCAGTGGGGGATGAAGGAGAAGAACTAAATAATTTAAATAGCTTCTCTCTCACTTTCTCTCTGTCTCTCACTCTCTCTCTCTCTCATCAATACGAAAACTATAAAAAATAAAGAAAAGGCCACAAAACCTGTATCTTCCGCATATTCCTCCTCATCAACATCACCCACGGTATCACTTGAAGGGCTGAAATCAATATTTACAATGAAGGACTGCAAAACTTAATCAACAACTGCAATAACAATATCTGGTAATTTTTAAAAATATATCTGTCTACATTTAACCCTTTCATTAAAAAGTTTGATTAAAAATAAATAATCATCATTTGTCTGAGTGACATAAATGTGTTGTGCTTGTTTACAGCATAGCTAAAATATTTGTCTTTTGGCTAGATATTCAACTTCTTAGGGAATTTGTTATCAGGGTTAGCCTTACCAAAGAATGCAGATTGTCTCTTTCTGATGTGGGCAGTCAGTTGTCGTTGTGAGTCAATTTCTTTCAAGACGTCTTCATTACTCTTTTTATCTGTCCAGGGTATTCTCATCATTCGTCTATAAAACCACATCATCGCAGCTTCAAAATAAGTTTTCAATAATTTACTAACTATCCATGATTCACACCTGTATATCAATTAGGATTTATATAGCTTTTAAGAATTCTCTTTCTGGTCTCAGCTGACAAAGAAAGATTGCATAAAATATAAAAGTAACACGGTTTAAAAAAAAAAATTTATATACATATATATATACAACTGCAGTAAGAATGATGAGTGTTTCACAGAATGTAAGACAGGCCTGCGTGCCAAATTTGTGACCATTTGAAACTGAAGTTTGTTTGTGTCCACCAGCATGGTGTTCATTCTCTCCCTCTTCTTCAAGGGACTGTACCCTCCATTACAAATATCTAAGTGTAAGCTCACCTTTCAGGCTCAGCCATCCTAGTCTAGAGTCCTGTAAACAAAACAAAAAAACAGTAGTTTACTTAAATAGTAGCTTTCTTCATTTAAAATATCATTTTTAATGGCAAGTATTCTTGAAACTTATGTTCTTTGCGTTCACTGGTGGTGAACTCAATGGACACTTCTGGTTCTTGGCCACTTCTGAACTCTAGTCATGCTGCAGAACTGGAGTTGTGTGTGCAAATCTGTTTTACAGATCTGGTTTATATGTGTTTTTCTTATTCTTAATGTTCAAAGGTTGTAAACTCCAATGGACAGTTCTGGCTGTTCATCCACTTCTTGACTTTGGTTTTGTTCTAGAACGTGAGTTTTGCTTGCACATTTGTTTAGCAGATCTGGCTTATTTGTATGCAGACTGTTGGTTCTATGTTTCTCAGGCAGATACACTCAGACTTCCAAGAAAATACCAATAATTAGTCGACTCTTATGACATGCTTACTGGGGAAACGGGGGGGAGGGGGGGGGTAGTAAGTCTACTCTTCTTTCCCCCTGCCCCCCCCCCCCCCCCCCCCCCCACCCCACAATAGGATTCTGGAATCCATAAGGAGAATACAGACTGTTGGTTTGCCACTTCTTAGGAAGATGCATATTGACTTCAAAGAGGAAACAGCCCTAATCAGTCACCTCTTACAACATGCTTACAGGGAGAAGGGGGTAGTGGGTCTAAACTCCATCCTATAACGAGGCCCCAGAATCCACACAGCACACTGTATGCTACTAAAAAATCAACTTATCGATTGCAAGGCAAAATCATGTTATATCACAGACTGGCATCTTTACAATCACTCCTAAAGAATGTTCTCGTCACGAGTATGGAAAAATAGTTTCTGAATGAGACTCAATGCAGCCTTATTTTCAGAGTCGCAGTGTGTCCACTGTGCAGCCCAAATAAATGGTGTCTTATCAGCTTCCACTCTGGAATCCATTAGCAAGCCTATCTCAACAAGTGATACAAATTACATAAATACAAAAAATATTGATACTATATTACAGTAGCAAATATATACTCTGAAAACTCAATTAACATGTTATATCCCAATTATAACACTCAGGGAATAGGATATGTTTGTGAAAATTACTAATACTTTGTGACTGTCTACTTCTCTCTTCCACTGTGATCGCCCTTGTTGGTTGAGATCACTCACACTGGACATTCAGACAATTCAGTCACTTAAAGTTTTCAGAGTTTAAATCCCCTGCAAAGTAAATACTGCCGCATGTAACTGATGACACTAGTTATGTCCTGGTTTCTTCTTCTTCTTAAGTCTCCTTTTAATGTCTTTTATTATAACCAACTTAAATGAGATAATGTTAAACACTAAACGAACAGAATTTTGCAGGAGACAAACAACAATGGTAAATCAGGCTACTGTGACTGTCCAATCTCACTGAACAAGTAAATGAATAAGGGTAAATTATAAACATATTATAAACATGTTGTTACTATGAAAGTCTGCTGAAATAAAAGAATCGCCATAAAACAGAGCTGAGTGCAGCAATTTACCGAGTTTCCGAGGCACAAATATATTTGTCTTGGTTCACAGATTGCTTGCAGACGTGCGCATGAGGAACATGGTAGACTGTCATGAGAGAACCTCTTTCATTGGATAAGTGAGTCGTTACGTTAGAATCTTGACCAATCAGGCCTAGTTTTAGTCAACTGTGTCTTTGAGTAAATGCCATAAAGATATTGAAGACCTGCTGCACATAAATTTACTAACAGTTCCAGTTGACAGTCTCTACGATCTTATGAACTAAACATCTCTTGGAATTAAAATTTGCCGAGATTAAACTTGGAGTGGATAATTTCGCTGTAACAGAAGACACCTTTCAGACTCATCATCATCATGTAGCAGGTCCTTTGCAGAACGTCGCTCTCATCACGTTCTACCTGAAAGAAACTCGGTCTCTCGCCAGTTCTCCCGCCTCATGCACTTTCACACTCAAGGAGTCACTTATATCCTGTGCCCATCTTCGTGTCGGTCGGCCCCTGCTCCTCCTTCCTGGTACCATGCCTTCTGCTTAATTTTTTCCAGTCCGTCGTGGCGATTGATATGACCAAAATATTTCAGCTTTTGAGAAAGTATGTTCAGACTACCAGGATAATATTATTATTATAATAACTATTATTAAAGACACCTTAAACACAACTGTATTGCAGGAAACATTAACTCCAAAGGATTCTTTTTACATATACATATATATATATATATTATACACACACACACGCACGCACACACACACGGTCTAAACCTGCTGCTTTAGGCTTATGACTAGAATGCATACAGTATACACAATTTTACATTATTCTTCTTATCGCCTGCAAACGAACCAGAGAGTTTTGGTTGTTAGTCCACTTCTGGACTCTAGTCCTGTTTCAGAACCTGAGTGTTGTGTGCACATTCAGTTTACAGATCTAATTCACTTGTATGCAGACTTTTACTTTCTTCCCTCTTTCTTAGACAGATGCACTTCGACTACCAAGGAAGCTTCAATTTAGTTGACCCTTATGGAACTCACGGGGAATCTTACACTCAAGGACTTATTTATACTATACATGTGCAGCTGCACGTGTGTGTGTGTGTGTGTGGGAGGGTGGCAACATTTTTTTTCTTCAGCATTCCGAGCCCATGAGGTTCATTGCTGCAAATATCACCTGCCTCCATTCATCTCTCTGGTTGGCCCTCTTTCCAGTTGGCAACACCAAGTGCCTGCAGGTCTGTCTGGATATTATCTATTCATTGTTATCTTGGTCTGCTTCGTGGTTTACGACCATTCATCTCCCCGGTGTAAACAGCCTCCACCTCTCTGTCATCCAACACTCCCTCAACATGCCCCAACCATTTAAGTCCACCATCTCTCATGATGCCAGTGATCAGTGGCGACTCGAACAGACCATGCAATCCGCTGTTACCTCCCACTCTCCACTCACCGCTGTCTGCACCCTTGATCGGTCCAAAGATCTGTCGTAAGACTCTGTTTTCGAAAACCTATAATAAGGCTTCATCTCTTTTAGTTGCGCTCCAAGCCTCAGAGCCATACAACACGAATGGTCCAATCAACATTTTACGAAAATCGCATTTAAATGGTATGGCAATAGTTAGTTAGTTAGTTAGTTAGTTAGTTAGTTAGTTAGTTAGTTAGTTAGTTAGTTAGTTAGTTAGTTAGTTAGTTAGTTAGTTAGTTAGTTAGTTAGTTAGTTAGTTAGTTAGTTAGTTAGTTAGTTAGTTAAGTTAGTTAGTTAGTTAGTTAGTTAGTTAGTTAGTTAGTTAGTTAGTTTAGTTAGTTAGTTAGTTAGTTAGTTAGTTAGTTAGTTAGTTAGTTAGTTAGTTAGTTAGTTAGTTAGTTAGTTAGTTAGTTAGTTAGTTAGTTAGTTAGTTAGTTAGTTAGTTAGTTAGTTAGTTAGTTAGTTAGTTAGTTAGTTAGTTAGTTAGTTAGTTAGTTAGTTAGTTAGTTAGTTAGTTAGTTAGTTAGTTAGTTAGTTAGTTAGTTAGTTTAGTTAGTTAGTTAGTTAGTTAGTTAGTTAGTTAGTTAGTTAGTTAGTTAGTTAGTTAGTTAGTTAGTTAGTTAGTTAGTTAGTTAGTTAGTTAGTTAGTTAGTTAGTTAGTTAGTTAGTTAGTTAGTTAGTTAGTTAGTTAGTTAGTTAGTTAGTTAGTTAGTTAGTTAGTTAGTTAGTTAGTTAGTTAGTTAGTTAGTTAGTTAGTTAGTTAGTTAGTTAGTTAGTTAGTTAGTTAGTTAGTTAGTTAGTTAGTTAGTTAGTTAGTTAGTTAGTTAGTTAGTTAGTTAGTTAGTTAGTTAGTTAGTTAGTTAGTTAGTTAGATGGGTTATCATCATTGCACTCCGGACATGTCCATATGTGCTCAGGTCCTCCCCTCAGTATAAACCCCAACGTCTGATGGCTAATTGTACCAGTTCTATGTTGATTAACGAGTCTTCTGGCGTGTCTGATGGGCTTCTCGATTTTTGATATGCCAATCTTAATTCCCAAGTCTGCCATTCTGGCGAGTGATGTGGATTCACTGCCCCCAAAGTCCTATATCCTTCCCATTTCTCTGAGGGCATTAATAATATCAGCATGATCCATAGGCTGACCGTCGGTAGTAATAGAGGATCCAGCCAACCTGTCAGATCTTTCATTTCCATCGACGCCTGTGTGTCCCAGAACAAAAATAAAGGTGACTCCACGCACAGTGGACTTCTGTAATGATTCAAGCCATTGTCTTCGCACCGATCCTGCCTAAACGCTCCAGATCATACTCATTGAATCACTGAGTATACATACTCGGGGGTATTTTTGTGTTTCGAGCCAGGAAAAGGCTTGCGTCACTGCCATCACCTCCATCGTCATGCTGCTGGTTGTCAACGGAGAAGGCGCCGTTGGCTTTTTTTTTGACTGTTCTGCCCGCTGAGCGTGCTGTGAATGCCCATGCGCTTCTTTTTTTTGGCGTATAACGGATCCGTCTGTATAGATAAGTGCATCTGCTTCGTCTGAATTTTCACTAATGAGAGCGTTGACTTCTGCATTAACAGCAATATGATTCTCTTCTCTACATTGCCTGTTGAGTGTGACAATACAGGAAAATGTACAAATAAACGCATGAGGCACAGGTATCCACTCTGCACCAGGGATGATGTCGGTTAGGCTGCATATTTGCCTAATAACATCTTCTGCCCGACCTAGCCATGAATTTCCTACTGCATCAAGTGCTTTTTAGTGAAAAGACTAAAGAGGGGGAAATCATGGCAATAGTGACGCTGAAGTTTAACTGAGAGAAGAGGGGTCGTAAAATAAATTAATGCACCGGGTCGTCATATAACTAGAATGTGTTTTTGCACTGGAACCCACAGTGGTATAGAAATATAGGGGGGAAAACGGAGACGGGAGCTATGAAGTAATGTTGAAAAACTGAGATGACGTGGGGAGAGTTGCATGCAATAGCAAAGGATATAACAACTTGGTGTGAGAACACTTGCTAGAGAACACGACACCTACACACATGCGCGCACGTACGCGCGCACACACACACCGTGACTAACTGACTCACTAAGCATGCTGAGGAAGGTAAGGACAGGTATGCTTCTTGTGTAGTGGCATGCTTCGCTTTGTAAGTATCGGATAAAGATCATTGTAAGGATCTTTTCTCTTAGGTATGCCGGTGTTTTCGGAAAGGAACAGGCAAGCATGTCGGCCGGCTCTGCACAACTTGACGGACTACTAATGCTTAATAAGGCAGACGGGTTGGATGCCTTATGGAAGCGCGTGAACAGTTTGGAAAAGCAAATTGAGACTGGTGAGAGTGATGCAGCGGAAAGTAACAAGGAGTTCTGGCCAATACTTGACGCTCAGGGGAAAGGCAAGACGGACATATAATCAGACTGCTACTTGTACAATTGGTACTGGAACTGCGTGGCTGCTGAGGATAAGAAGGAAACGCTTGCGGGCATGCCTAAGTGCTGTGATGTCGGTTATTGAACCAACTCTGCCAACCTTTTTTCTTCCAACTGTACCGTTGTCCCAGTATACTCCAGCTTTTCTCTTTCTCGCGACGTGACCAAGAATGTAGACTGTATCCGTCTGATAAGATCAATCAACCCTCCTCTTCTTCTGCCTTCTAATAGAAAGGAGCTTAGGTTCTCAACCAACTCACAAGTCATTATATCGCTATCTATCGCATGCAGCTCTCCCCACGTACTCCCCATCTTTTTGTGTCTTTTGATCTTCCTTTATTTCTATGCCCCTGTGGGTTCCAGTAACATCTCATGTGGGCCGTATATGACGGTTCAGTCCTATTTCATAACATCAAAGTTTTAGATGACCACCATCGAATGTCTTTCTGTGTGAGATGCAAAGTTCAGAATTCCGACCAACAGATCTTCCGTTGTATGACAGACAAGGTTCAGATGTCCATTACCTATGATCTCACTGATCGAAGTGTCGGAGTCAAACGGGGAAGCCATGCATGGTGCATGCTTTTGCCACACTGTCGTGCAAGGTGTCACAGTGCAACAATGTTAAAGATTTCTACCGCGCAGAGGAAGATTGTGCTAATTTATGTGGTCATCAAAGTCCTGGACCTGCAGACTGCTTCCTGTTAATCCCCAAAGGGCGCAGCTCGCATTGAATGGAGAGCTCAGTAAACAGATGGGAAGTTAATCAGTCATGTGCAGGTCGTGACGATTTCCTGGGTGATCAGAGCGCAGTGTGTCGGTTTTGCATCTATGGATGCCTCCTTGAATGTCCATGATCTGCTCTCGTCTACCCCTGAGAACCAAGCAGTCTTTACGCGGCTGCTCTCGATGGGTTCTCGCGGAGACACACTTGTCAGGTAATGGGACGAAAAAGTATATAACACAAATGAGCCTGCGTCATGTCCCACAAAATCAACATGGGAATGCTAACCTGGTAAACAAATGCCCTATGAAGTCGATTGTGAAAAGACACAAATATCGCAGCTATATTGGTTTCTGAGATGAAATGTTACGAATACTTCGGCCGGCCAAAGTAACTAACAACGACTGTTTGAAAGAATCTAATCAAAGTTTATCTCTAAATACAACAATAAGAAAGAGAGAAAAACTGTTATTTGGCCACGTAATGAGAAGAGAGACACTGGAGAACATCGTGACACCTGGAAAGATCTGTGGAAAAAGGGGTAGAGGCAGACCAAGAGTGATGATGCTGAATGGGTTGAAACGATGACATTGGAGGGATATCATCATACGCCAGTTGGCAGAGCACATGATGGTGATAACATTGTTACAGGCACAACGCAGTTACGTCAGCCGGACGAACAAAAATAATAAGATATGTTTTAGGACAGCTGTCATAGCTACAAGCAAAGAAAAAAAAATCAATTATATTTGTGTGTGTGTGTGTGTGTGTGTGTGTGTGTGTGTGTGTAAAGAATAGGTCTGACACAATTCAACAGATTAGATAGCTTGTCCATATTGAGACACTTTGATTGAATACAGACAGAAAGATAAATGAGAAGGAAGGGGGGGGGGGGGCCGGGGCGGGGCTAATGATAAGGGGGAGAGAAGAAAAACAAGAAGATGATGGTGAAAGAAAACAAAAACCCAAAGAAGAAGAAGAAGAAGCGATCGGAGCAGCGGGAAAAGGAGAATGTATACGTGTTAGTGTATTTTATATTTTTCAATATTTTACTTACGTTGCTTAAACAATGAGTGTAATCAAACACAAAATTTGACAAATTGCAATTCGTGTACATAAAAAAAACGTTTCTCGTAGCTTTTTTTTTTTTTTTTACGAGAGAATGAGCGAGCTAACCTCATTTTCAAAGTGACAAAAATGAGGCAGGCTATCCTGTCTTATATTCATCTTTTAAAAACTAATCTTTCATATAAAAACTGCATTTTATGTATACAGTGTGTTAAGTCCACATAGCAGTGTGTATAATATGCATATCAATACAACAATATCAAGATGCAGTCTAAGTCGAGACGCACCGTCTAAAATTGTCGTAACACAAAAAAAAACGTCTCGAGATTGTTTTTTTTTTTTTTTTTACGAATGAGCGAGCTAACCTCATTTTCAAAGTGACAAAAAATGGCAGGCTATCCTGTCTATATTCTCTTTTAAAAACTAATCTTCATTGCTTTTATGCCAGTGTGTTAAGTCAATAGCAGTGAAATATGCATATCAATACAACAATATCAAGACGCAGTCTAAGTCGAGGTTTCAACTTCACCGCAGTGGGGTTTCCCTATTGATCTGTTCCTGTGCCAGTGAAAATAAAATGAAATGTCTCTCACTGTCTCATTTAATCCAGAAATAATGCTCCAGAAAAATCAGAAAATGCACTAGTAAATGTAGTTTGCTAGATGCGCCAAAGCCAACAGTCACCACCAGAAATACAGTTTGTCATAGACCTAAGTAGTCGGGCACGATAAGTTGCTGACTATACACACGTAGAATCATTACACTGGTATTTCACCTGCTCACACGTAAACCGAACCCGCCATATTCAATACCACAACACAGCCGCTGCCCGAATGAAAGGCATTCCATGGGAAAACACAGCTCGCAGGGCTGCACCAAGCACTAAACCCACTAGATCAGGCAGCTAAATCATAGACCATCGTCCATATGTGGAAATTGCATTAGCCAAGCGCAGTCGAAAGCAAAACTATCTTGGAAGCTTAACATTCTGCTATGCCATCCTCTATTTTATACCGGAAATCAGTTGGATATCAAGAAAAACCAATAAAGAACAGTTGGTATATGCATCTGTTTCAATGCCAGTCAAAACAAAGCTGTATGACACACTGGAGATTTAGACTGCAGAACTGATTTCATCAAAGCTACTGGCCTCCTGATATAAACTTTTGTGACAGAAGTATCAAAGAAGCATGACTGCATACATACACTCATACGTACACATGCATACACACCCATAGACAAAAGACGCTGGATTTTATTCCATCCATGATAATGAAATAACTGCACATGACACAAGAGAATGAAAGAATCTTTGCGAGTCCTATGTGATGTATAACGGCACCGTATGATGATGATTATTTGTGGTAGCATTTTATAAGATTGAATTGACACAACACCGTGAAGGTGTCGCTGTTGTGCTTCCGCCCGATAAACTTCCTTTCCACACAAGAGTTAGCAATGGGGCGCATGCACAATCCCGGGTAAGCGTGGCACAGCTTCGTTTTTAATTTTTTTCTGGGTTATTTCTGACATTTTGGCATGCTTTGTAAAGTATGATAATAATTTTAAATACTAAAAACAAGTCGGCAAGCTTTTATTACGTATAAAAGGCATTGTTTTAGGTTTCTGATCTAAAATTTGGATTGGTAGTAATCGGTCACCAGCCATGCTTATTCAGCGCGGACTACGGGACTGGTACTAAAATAGTGTTAATTTTGAAGTTAATTTAACTGGAGCGCCGCAAAGAATCTTTGAAACTAACTCAGGAATAAAAAATAAATATTGTGTCGCAGTATGCATGGCCTCTGTCATATCAGTTTGCGTGAAGGTGCTAAAGTTGTCAACAATTACGCGGTGGCCGGGCCGGTCGCCATGTTTGCTAGCAGCATTCAGTGGAGTTGCCTGCTAAAAGGTAAACATATGCATTTGAAATTGTCACATAAACATTTATCAGGAATTAAAACTTAACTTTCTATTTAAGACAATGAACACATTTCGCGAGCAGTGGCGAAAACAAGTAAACATTGTTACATATTTATTGTGCCATAAATAAAACGAGTGAAATATTAAAGTGATTTATTTAAGTTTGAACATTAGTTAGAAAGTTACTTATTTTGGGACCATAGGATAGTCATATAGCAATAGGAATAAACTCACAGGGAGCAAGTACAGCAGGTATCTACCAGTCGTCTCTAGAAATTATCCTCGTCGACACGCGTTTCGGCCCACTATTCCTAGACGCATTCGGAGGTGGGCCCTCCTGAGTTCATGAAGCTCAGGGCTGGTTCCCTGCTGCACGGGATTACCGGATGGTGTTTTACTTTCGGCCAGAGACAAGACGACTTGGTGGTTTCGCAGAACAAACAAGACTATTGTCTATTTTATCAGAAGCCTGGTTTATTTGTCTGCGAGCGAACTTACAATGACTATAATGAAACACAAATTATGTATACAAACACACAAACGTGAGCAAAATCGAAATGACTTTAGGGGACGCCGCAGTTTGCTTACAGCGACTATAATCTGTTAACATTAACATTTTGTAATTAATATTGTTTATGTTTATTCAAAATTTAATATTGGTACGGGTTTTAGTTAAGGCGTACTAACCCTAATCTCAAACTAGTAAAGAATATTATATATGCAAATGGATTATGTTCCTGAAGTGTGGATTCCTATGGACATTGTAGATACTAGATGAAGCCCTATAAAGGCTACCAGCCTTTTGATAGGTTTTGTGATAGAAGGATCAAAGATGATCAGCACATTGACAAGAAGACCAGTGATACTACATTAAAAACTACATATTTGTAAAATACTGTCACATATTTGATGATAAAAATAGCAAGTTTTTCAGCACATTCGTTAACGTTATCTTTTCTTTCACAGCAAGGGTATTTCCCAGAGTGCTCTTCCATACAGGAGGACTGTTCCTAATGTAGGTATTTTTTGACTGCAGTACGTGTGTGTGATGTATGTTAATCCTTCTATGTGCAGTGAATTTGTATGATGTGTTGATTTTTGTCTGCAGTTTTTGTGTGGTATGCAGATCTTTTATCTGCATTGTGATAGTAATTATTTTTAAGCACTGAATTTATGTGGTGTGTTTTGTAATTTAAAGTGGAATTGTGTGATATGTTGACAGTGTGTCGGATCAGTAAGGTCATGTATGTGTCTTTCATGTTTAATATTATTGTGGGTTTTGGGATTCAGTTTGGAGAAGAAATAATAAACCAAGTGCCCCGTAAAAAGCATGTTATAGGGACTAATGGGTGTGTCCTACATAGTAAAAAAAAGGCAAGGAACCAGCAGTCTGCGTACAAATAGACCGGATCTGCTTGTCTTCTTTTGTTCCTTTATCTGTTTCTGCAGTGGTGTCTAGAGAGGTGCAAGATCATGTCAAGTCAATGAGTAGATTAACTCCCTGCATAGATTCCAGGGTGCGGATTACATACAAAGACAGCAAGTGAAATGGTTTGCCCACTTAGAGAGAATGCCTTGTGACACTATACCATACAAAGCATACATGGAAAGAGAAGGACGTAGAGCACAGGGTAGACCAAGAACAAGATGTGCCTATGGTCGAGGCAACCAGAAGAGCTAGAAACAGAACCTTTATCTCCCTCGACACCCACAGCGGTAAAAGAAGTGAAGTGAAGAAGAAGTAGATTCCAGGGTGCCGCATAGTTGCAAGAAAAAAATAGACCTACTGTCTTTGAACGTGCATGAGTCGACTGGTTGGGGGCTTCTTTCGAGGTTTATGCACATCTTTCTGTGAAGCAGAGAACCAACAGTCTGCATACAAATTAGCTAGGTCCCGGTGTGCATGTTAGTTTTTTTTTTTTAAGGAAAACTACAGCTGTGTGCGAACAATCATAACTTGTGGTTTACAGCCAGTGCATGAACAGATTATCATCCAGAACTTACTGTTGGTTACAGCCGGTAAACACTGAGATCTGTTTCCTAACACTACTGTAAATTTGTTTTAGTTTTGCATGAGAGTAAAACTGACAAGGGTGAAAAGGGATATTTTCTTTTTAGCATTTTTGTTGTTGCTTGTTGCAGATTTAAAAGGCAAATTTAACTTTCAGTATTGCTGTTGCTTTAAAGGTGATTAGATTTAATTCCACTGTTAAAACCAATGCAGGTCCGTCTGCAGCTAGAATAGAACGCAGCAACTCTTAAGTGCATTTGCATTGCCTAAGCTGACAGACGCGGACTGAAGAAGCAGTGCAGTTTTGATTTTTAACTGACGCCCCGGCATGAATTAAAATGTATTGTATATTATGTTACAGTGGCTGAAGTTGCCTGCTGAAGATGTCGAGGAACAGATTTACAAGCTGGCCAAAAAAGGCCTGACACCTTCACAGATTGGTAAGTGATTCAAGACTTAATGTATAAATCTTACTTTTTCTTTAACTTGTAAGACAGTAGATATCATCACATTGCAGCATACATGGTCATGAAAAAGCCGCAAAAATGGCAATTTAAGTAAAAGACTGCCATAGCCTGATATTGACCAAATATTTGATGAGGTCAAGAGGTTAATGAGGCTACAAGATGTTGCATACAGCTCAGTTGACTAATAGGTCACGATTGTTTATATTTATTACGATGCTTTCAGTGCCAAACATGGACACTTACATCCTCTAATGAATGTAATATTGTGAGAGTAGAGATGAAGTGCCTTGGAAAAGCTGCAGGAGTCTCAAGGAAAAACATCACAAAATCAAACATGCTCGAAATATAGCCATTCTTATTGATCATAAAAAAAGAACAAATAAAGTTGTTTAGAAACCTGTAACCAAAATGCTCTTGTACTATTTATTGGATACATTGAGCCAGACTAAGCCGGTCTAGAGCCAACAGAATACCTCGAAAAAGATTGCATTTATTGGATTAAGAACAGACTTACAGAAATAAACATCAGTCTTGATAGTGCTCTTGACAGCTCAACCCCCTCCCTTGACACTTCACTGAGGTACAAGGTGGAAGAGAAGAAAAAAATTATCTTTTAAACTCATTATGGGACATACTAGGCATAAACACCACTTATTCAGTAAGGTAAACACAAAATACAAACTGATGATTGTAACCAGAAATGGTGAAAATAATAAAGGCTAAAAAATACCCCTATGCATTTGTGGGAAATGTGAAACTAGTGAACAAAGATATCCTCCTAAGTAAAAGTGTAACACACACAAAACCGCACAGCTATAAGACTGCAATTCTCCTGATTTCCATTAAATAAGTTATGTACCTTATGTTCATTTTAATCTGTCAGAATGTAGGATTTTAGCCAACATCTTGTTGTAACAGGTGTAATTCTGAGAGATTCACATGGTGTTGCTCAAGTTCGATTTGTCACTGGCAACAAGATCCTGCGCATCTTGAAGAAGAAAGGGCTTGCAGCAGATCTGCCAGAAGATCTTTACAGTCTGATCAAGAAGGCGGTGAACATTCGCAAACATTTGGAGCGAAGCAGAAAGGTTTGTAGTGTCATGTTATTCATTATTGAAGTACTAATAGACTTTTCACCTCATGTGGCTTCTGGGGACATACACAGAATAAACCCACTGCCCCCTAGACGAGCATGTTATAAGCAAGTGACTGCTTGGGGGGGGGAAGGGGGTGTTTCTTTAGTTGACGAAGTGCGTCTGCTTAAGGTAAGGCACAAACAGTCTGCAAATAGCTAAGACAGGATACCAAATGCCTGAAAAAGTTGCATGTGTCAGAAGTGTGTCTGCTTAAGGTAAGGCACAAACAGTCTGCATATAGCTAAGACAGGATACCAAATGCCTGAAAAAGTTGCATGTGTCAGCTGAAAATTGCAGATATCCCAGCTACTCATTAAGCAGGACAACGCACTTACAAAACTGAGATGAATGAGCCGTGTCAGTGGGACGTATGATTATGGTGATTTTAAACATCCCCTGTTCATAACCCCACAGACAGCAATCATTTGACCTCAGCATTATGTGCTGTTTATGGACTGCCTAATTTTACATGCAGCATGTTCACCTTTGTCAATGATGTACCATATTTGCTACTCTTGATTCAAGATGATGAGTATCTTACCACCAAACATTGGCACCTGAGACAAAGATGGGCAGTTATTTTATATGTGGTGATTAAATCTCATTAGCATGTCATAGTAAAGTGAACAACTTTTCAGATCCTTGTTTTATGCTGCTAGCCCTGTATTTTAGACCAGTCGGCATTCTATGATTATGTAAAGTTTCAATTCTGATGGTGCCAACAGGATTATGTTTATCTTGCCTTTCCTCCGAGCGCTGTGTAACGACTAGCTTTTCTGTTGCATCACCCTGATTGGACTAGTGATTCATTTGCTCCTCCGAATTGTACACTTTCTCTCCAAGGCCCTAACCATGTCTGCCTTATGCATTAGTAATCTGAAAAGTTGTGCTGAGCCAGTAATTCTGTCTGTTCATTTCTTAACACACCGGCATGACCAAGAAAACAGATCCAGCGTTACTTACCTGTGATCTCTAAAACAGTACAGTCACCTGCATGAAGCATGCCTGTCCCCCACCTTCCCCAGCATGCTTTGTGTCTTGATGGGTGATTTGGTCCTTTACTTAACCCAAGACATTCATTTGTACCAATTGTAGGTCAGGTCAACTAGGAGAGCTAAGGTCAGGACAGAAACCTGTGTGATTTTGAACCCCATGTCTTCAGACCTGAAGCTTATGAATTCACCAGCAGGATATTTTCTACAGTTCTACAGTTCTAACAACTCACTAGTCTAGATAAAATCATCATATTGTATAGTTAGTAACTAGTAACAGTGTTATCATTGTCAATGATGTATTATATTTGCTACTCTTGAGAGTACATTGATGAAACTTTACCACCATTCTAATGGCCTGAGACAATTGAATTATAGTAAAACTTGCTTGACTGTACAAATTTATTTCATATCCAAGCTTTTCCTGTTTTTTGTTGTTGTTGTTGCTTTAGCACTTCTAGTCAGTCTCTTTACTTGAGAAGCATATCTGGGGTTTAAGTAGTTAGAAGTGTTAAAGTAATAGGGGACATCATAAAAAATATTACTAGAAGTTCAGTTTTGTCAATGATGAACTGTATTTGCTACTCTTGACTGTACTGGATGATGAGTATCTTACCACCAAACACTAACACCTGAGACAAAGGTTGAACAAGCTAATCAGATAGCAGTGGGGGAATGTTTGCTCTGACATGTGAAGTAGACCACCAGTGTGATACTGGCGCCAGTCTGTTAAAAATGGGCTAATGTAAAGTCTGCTGTCCAGTTTTTTTTAATTTATTTATAAGGTCTATATCATTTTCTTTGGAATGCAATCCTTTCTGCAGTTCTAATATTTATTGGTTATAAATTCTTCAGTCCAATTAATTAGACAAAGACCTAAGACCTTGGCATATGTTTCTGACCTAATTGGGACTAATGAGATGTGGATCTCTACTTGTGCTGACCAGAAGCCTATTCGTGCATCAAATTTCTTCATGTCCTTGGTATACGTGTTAGTATGTTTTTCATTTGCACTGCCTCTGGTTGTGTGAAACTCCTTTTGAAAAGATTTTCTTGAAACATTAATTTAAAAAATTGAGATATTTAAGTGAATTCTCATGTAGTTGAGTTTATTGTTTTTATAATTGTTTTTGCAATGTTAGATTTTAATGCATATTTGCTTGTGGCCTTTAGCTTTTGCATCAAGTGCTCACTACTGTTGCACATTGTGTACTTGGTACATTGTAATTTACAAGGCTCCATTGTCAATGATGTATTATATTTGCTACTCTTGATTGTACACTGATGAAACTTTACCACCATTCTAATGGCCTGAGACAATGGAGTTTTACAGCATTTTGTGTGCGCAGCACGACAGTTGCTAGATAGTGTTTAAATAGATTTGAAGTTGTGCGATTGATAAGCAGTTTAGTTGTTTGTATCGCCGTTAAAGCACTTTACACTTTAATGTACATTTGTCTATATTACACTTGCATCCTTATAATATGGGTACTGAACACTCCTATGGCATTGATACACTGACAACTGCCTAATAGTGTTATAATTTTTCCTTGTCTCTTTACCTTAATGTTTTGTGCTATTGGTTTGTTTTAGTTTAAGCACTTGTTAATTTATTCACTGTCATGTTTGTTTCTAGGACAAAGACGCCAAATACCGCCTGATCTTGGTGGAGTCCAGAATCCATCGTCTGGCCCGCTACTACAAGACCAAGAAAGTGTTGGCTCCCACATGGAAGTAGTAAGTGTTCTTGCCAATTATATTCAGCTCTTTCAGAAGTGCTTGGATTGTTGCCATTAGAACTGTTTTTAACCAGCACAACTTGCAGACCTTTATTCTTCATTAAGTCCCATGCTGTGTGCGTTGGTAGTCCTGTCTGTCCACAACCTTCTTTCATTCAAAAAGCTTAAAAGTCATTCAACATAATAACCTTCATGCCATGTCCAGCCAGCATCTTTTCTCATGGTTTCCCTCTGCCTCTCTTGCGTACCAGTTTTCCTACTATGTCATCTATACAGCCATATCTCTTCACTAATCTACCCACCCTCCTTAATTCACTTCTTTATATGAAGATAGGATTATGTAGCTTTATGGAGGAGGAAAAGATAGTAAACAGTATTTTGTCTTGGAAACTAAATGTGGCCATATCAAGCATCATGAAAAAATGGCAGAGAACCCTGTCAATGCAGACATGATTGACGTTGTTTGTTTCTCAACTCTATAAGGCAAGCAGCAAAGTTTAGCACACAGCAGATCTTCAAAGCAAATGTACACGTAGCAAGTCTCGAACAACAGTTTACAAGGTGGTAAACACCTTGTCGTTTATTTATGAAAATTAAAGTTTGGAGGCAGGGTATTCTTTTCTGTCACCTGGAAAAGGGGGGGGGGGTGTTATTTATACACTTTCCTGTTTGGCTGGTACACAGTAATGTTATTTGCAGTGAATAGCCACTTGTGATTTTTTGGCAGCTTTGATCGTGCGTGTAATTATTTTGTTGTCTTCACTGTTGACATTCTCTTTCACTAATGTTTGTTTTTTTCCCTTTTCACAGCGAGTCGTCAACTGCTTCTGCTTTGGTTGCCTAATTTAATCCTCTGGTGCCATGTTGGACATTCTCTAGAACACCATCAACTAATAAACATTTCAAAATGTTATGTTTATCTATGCCAGAGTTGTGATTTTGTTTTTGGAGTGTGTCAGTTGTATAAGCTAACCTTTTTTATAGTCTAAATTTGAAATACAAGATCTTTTTTTTTTTGCTTTGATGCCTGCATCATTGTTGTCAGTTACAAAAGTCAAAACGGTTTGGCTTGGTTTTATCATTTCTCTAACATGTTTTTGATTGCTTCACATGGTCTGCAGGCGACATTGTACATTAATTAGGAAGACTGGAATGTATTGTGACAGTTAGAAAATATTGTCAAAAAGAAAGCTAGGGAGTTTCGCATAGAATATCATCTTGAGACAGAAGGTTGTGGATGGATATGACTACCAGTGGTATGGACTGTAAGATTTCTGAAGCTAAAACCTCATTGATCCCTTGCTAGTTCTTTTCCTCAAGAAAAAAGCTGTTTGTTCATGTTCTTAGATAAAAATTAGAGTAAAGCTCATCTTTTTAAGTATTTTGTTGTTGTTAAGACTGAGTCGCATGCACACTTGTTTTACAGATCTGGCTTATGTCTATAAGCTGTAGGTTAAATACTCTTGGGCAGATGCTATTTGAAGGAAACCCTAACTAGTTGACTGATAGCATGTTTGCTGTGGAGGCAGTTTTTCCCCAAAATTTGGCCTGGAACCCTCATTGGGATGCTTGTGTTAAAAAAAAAAAACCCAGCAACTTGCGCAAATAAATTTGGGTACACAATTGGGAAAGTTGAATAGCTAAAGCTATTTGAACTGTTATTTGTTGCAAGGGTTAACCTTCATGGGGTGTTACTTCATACACTAGCAGGTCCAGAGCAGCTATGTGATGCTGATTACCCTCTAGACAACGCAGAGGCTGGATATGACCACCCAAGAAGGCTTCCGCTGAATTAAAATGCATGTCTGTCTAATACTAGACTCGCCCAAGGAATAGTCACATTCTGCTACGTTTAACCTAGTTTTATGTGGTGAGCCTCACACTATAACCAGACATGTGGGGTTCCTAACACTATCAAGTGCGTTGTCAACTGACATGAGCGATTAGGGCGTGTGTTGACACCCTATCATGCTATGACAAAAGGCCATCAAGAATTTTTTCTCATGCTCTTTCCAAAAATCTTTGCAGTTTTCACAGCATGTTCTATTTTCTCTCTTATGGCCAAAACATGTTCTTCCTGGTGTTTGTAAGTTGTCCTCTTTCAAAATGTTTGGGTTACTCTTCTTAGCTGTCCAAGGATTCTTCTGTAAAACATAGAGGCCTCAAGATTTTGTTCAGCCTGCTCATTAATTAATTGTCCAGCCATGTTTAAACCGGCTCTATATAGCTTGTGAGAATTCTTTTCCTAATTTCATATATTTTGTGTGCACGAAACGGGTTTATTTGATTTAAAAAGTTGTCTGTCCTGTTCTTTGTCTCCTTGATGCATTTTTCATTTGCATACGCAAAATAAGTGCTTGGTGTCTTTCGTATGTCAGTTCTTCTGTTCTGTAATATATGAAAATGGGCCCACCTAAATTCAAGTAATTGATATTTAACTGCAAACTGAATCACTCTCAGGTACTGCCTAAAAGAGAGCACAGAAATGTTACATAGAACCTGTTCTGCTGTATGACAGCGAATCTTGGAATGTCAGTTAACAAATTAAGAACTTGGAAGCAGTAGAGATGAATGTTACGAATACCTTGGACAGCCAGAGTAACTGACGATGGCTTGAAAGTAGATCTTTAACAAAAAGTAGACAAAACACTGTTCTTTAGCGACTGAAAAGATCAGCAAAAAAAGGGTAGAGGCAGACCAAGAGGTCATGCTGAAATGATTGCATGGGTGGATATCAAGAGAGCTTTCCAGGGATTATCCGTGGAGACAAAAGCACCTACGCCAGTTGGCAGAGCACATGATGATAATGAATTTAGAATTGTAGGAAAGCAGTAAAAAATTAAAATAAATAATTAAAGATTCGTTAAAAATGTAATTGCATATAGATGTAAATAAATACAGAAAACTACGACACTATGCGTGCATAACAAATCAAGTTTTATTGTGTACCTGAATCTTAATACACAAAAAAAGCTGTTAACTAGAATTCCTACATTGCAAAATTAAGTTTGTAAGATTTTTTTCTCTGCATTATGAAATGAATTAAAGATACAAAAGCAGTATTTTGAATGCTGAAGTAAGTGAAGCTATTTTAATTGTTTTTCAACTAATCGCCAAAAATCTGAGATTAACAAAACAAAAAAAAAACAGTACTTGGATAAATTATGTAAATTAAATTTGGGATAAAAGTGAACCGAAACGTGAACAATGACATCACATTGTGGTCTTGACTGCAGAGAACCAAAACCTGCTGGAGGCTGTGGCAAAACACAGGATCGCGTTGTTTTTAGATTAGCGTCCCTTCAGACTGGATGCTCATCCTGTAGGACTTTTCTACCTGGTTAGGGCATGGATGGAAGAGGGGGAGAACATTACATGATGTCATTGTAATAAGTAGGAGATTACTGAAGCCCCACCCCGGCTATTGTCAGAGCCCTAATATAACTCGAGGGTTGAACAGGGTTTCTGGGACAGGCCCCCTGGTGGATTCTCGTCCAAATGGTGGCACTTTGTGTTAACTGCTCCTTGTGCTGAATTGGTCGGGTCATACTTCATTACTAACTGCACCCCCCCCCCCCACACACACACAGAATGTGACTAAATTTATAAATATCTTGTGGTCTTCTGCCCTGCATCTCCCAATAGAGCATAGTATGAGTCCTCTGTGAGGTTCGCCAGGGACACAGATGAGTATCATTTATTTTAGACATTAGAGTCCTATGTAGTCACTTCATAGTTAGAGCATAATTGTGTACTGTGTTGTCCTTTATGTGCTGATGAAGGCTAATCGCCGCAACGTCCTTTGTTTGTTTATTGTGATCGATTTTGTAAAGCTAACATAAACTGTTTGTTGTTTCTTACCAACTTTTTCTCTTCCCTATAATTTTCTACTCCTTTTAAAAACTGAGGTAAAGGTAAAGTCGGGAGATATGAACCAGTGTTATTGCACGCGGTTATAAACCATAAGTGATTTTCCACCAATACGGACAGTTGATAAGAAACTACAAAATAGGGCCTTACGCCTAGTTTCCGATAGAAACTACGTTGAGAAAAATCTTTTATATGGACATCTAAGGCTTCTGCCATTTAGTAAACGTTCAATTTTTAATAAGGCCAAATTTATTCACAAAATCCTATCTAAAGATACTCCAAATTACATAGACCGATTTATTCAATCTAATCCTAAGAATAGCAAGCGACTAGGTTTATTACATTTGCCTAAACCCAGAATTGATTTATTTAAAACAAGTCTAGCATATTCTGCTGCTCATTTATGGAACCATCTTCCACCCGATCTGAAAACTACAAAAAGTCCTTACTCATTTAACCGCAAACTCTTTCATTTCATGATTATCAGTGATTACATGCCACCTTAAATGTAGTTAATAATCCACAATGCATTACTAGTTATAACTAATTGCAGTACGTATGATATGTTTGTATGCGTATATGTGTGACATGCTGGCGTGTGTAGGCATATGTGTGTATGTATGATTCTGTGTATGCATGGGTAACTGTAAACGTTTGTGTGTATATATCTGTGTGTAGGCGTGTGACTGTTTGTCTGTATGGTGTCTGGGTGCGTGTCTGTCAGTGTGTGTCTGTGTTTGTTGTGTTTTTTTAATGTCTATCTGTGTGTGTGATTGTATGTGGATATGTGCGGGGGTGGCTTGGCTGCATGTTTGTGTGTGTGTCTGTCTGTTTGTGTGTATCTATGCTGTGTCTGTAGGTGTTTCTGCGTGTGTCTGTGGCTGTGTGTTTCTCTGTGTGTTGTTTCGTGTGTATTTGTATGTTCAAATTTTTGATAATGTTTGTGTGTGTGCGTCTGCATGTGTGTATTTGTGCGTCTGTGGGTGTGTTAGTATGTGTTTGTGTCCGTCTCTGTGTGTCAGTGTGTGTGTGCCATTATGTGTCTGTAGGTGTGTATGGCTGCATGTGTATATGTGTCTGTCTGTGGCTGTGCGTGGCTTTGTGTGTATCTGTGTGAGTCTCTATTGGTGTGTCTATTATATTATGTCTGCGTGTCTCTGCTTGTGTCGGGTTATGCCTATGTGTGTCTGTGTGTGTATATCTTTGTATGTGTGGGTGTTGCGTATGTCATTGTGTGTGTCTGTTTCCCTGCCTGCGTGTGTGTATGTGTCCCCGTATGTGTGCCCGTGACTGCATGTGTGTGTGTCTGGATTGTATGCGTGTGTGTTATAGAGCGTGTGTATGAGTGTATGTATTTATGTATGTTTGTATGTATGTATGTTTTTATGTGAGTTTGTATGTATGTTTTTATTAGAGTTTGTATGTATGTGAGTATGTGTGTGTATGTATGTATGTATTATGTGAGTTTGTATGTATGTATGTGTGTGCATGTTCGTATGTATGTGGATGTGTGTGTGTACTTAGTGCCTATATGTTTGTGTGTAAGTGAGTCATTGGGCTTATGTGTGTGTGTTCGCGCGTGAGCGTGCGTACATATTTTACCAGCCATGCTTTTGTTTTTGACTTCATATAATTAATATGCATATTATCACATGAATATAACATGCTTCATTGATGAAATACAACTGCTGTGTGAAAGATGGAAGTTTGGAAGGGCCGAATGTAAGTCAGGCCTGCGTGCCTAATTTGTAACCCTTTGAAAATAAAGTTCGTTCGTTCACCGTCCGCAGGTAACTCCATAGCTAACGTTTCTCCGTTTATCGCAGTGTTTTTTTTCTTTGTGAACTAGCGTCATTGGACACAGTTATAAACCATAAGTGCTCTGCCAACAGTACGGACAGCTGATAAGAAAAGTGTCGCCGTCCGCAGATTGCTGCGATGACAGTTTTTAGATGAACTCAGCGAACACAACTT